CCATTGGAAACCATGTAGTGTTTGTAAATCCTGGTAGAACTAATCCCTATCTAGTTTTCTGCCCATCTCTCGCAACGGCACAGGGATACTTGCGAGAATAATATGCGACAAATCAACTGTGAAAAAGAGTTACACACACTTACCATGGTAGGTAATTACAGGCAAATCTCAATTTAGCCTATTTCGCTCTTTTTGAATCTCAGCTGAGATATGGCATAGAAGTCTGGGGCGGGGATCCACTGCATTAGACCTAGAACGTGTTCTCATCAAACAAAAGAGGGCAATCAGGTGTTTGGTTGGCATTGGACAACAAGACAGCTGTCGTGGACCTTTTAAAGGACAAAAAATACTCACCATGGTGTCACTCCACATCTGTTAAAACATCCTACATGCAATAGCCACCCAACAAACCAACATAGGGACCTACATCACAACACCAGACATGCACTAGGTTTCACCCTTCCAATCCATAAGCTATCATTTACTGAAAGAAAACCATCCTATAAAGGAGCCAAATTCATTAGCCACCTTCCAGAATAACTTAAACAACAGAATAATTCATTCACTTTCAAGAAAAAACTCACAGACTGGCTGCTAGAGAGACTTTTTTACACTGAAAAAGAATTAATCTCACGATCTTAAAACATGAAATGTTTCTGTAACCCACCTGTAAATATGACGCTGTACTATTTTCAACGAATATGTTAATAAGGCATATTGTCTATTGTTTGATGGCAAATCTACGTGCCTCGACCTATCAATGGACAACTTGAACATGGCGGTCGGTTGCTTCGCAAATTCAAAACAACTATCAAAAATTAACGTTGGCCTATTAAATATAGACTATGTTTAAGGTGTTGCTTTTAAATGATTCACTTGGTTTTGTTATCGCTTAAGTTACACGTGATATATCAAAGAATAATTATCTATAAAATCCATGGATCCAACTTCTATTAAACACAAAATACACCACAGTTAGATAGATTTTATATTTGGGTTATGATGCAGAAAACGCCTATTACAATTTTAGTCAAAATTAATTATTGAGTGTTTTACATATTTTTATCTGTTTAACTAATGGAGTATAAAAAGTCTTGGCTTTTATATAAGCTTTAATTCACTTTTGTTATATACTTTCCAACAAAAATAGGTGGTAGAAATTACAAGTTACCATTGCTATCAATATCTAGTAGTGTGAGGCAAGGTATGACTCGGACTGGTAATGGGGCTTTGTGCACTTTGACGGGTAAATGCTCACCTTTTAAGGCTGCGTTCAGGGGCGGGGGTACTCTATTAGGGCGTAAACCTTAACCAGCCCGAAGGCGCCAACCGGGGGGTCTGGGGGTATGGAATACCCCCCTGCATAGAGGGGGGGGGTCCTCCCCCGTGAAATTTTTTAAAAATTATACCTGTAAACTTGCATTTTTAGGCAATCTAGAGGCATTAACAGTGGAAAATCAGAAATCTTATAACTGACACTATTGGTCAATGTTTGGTTTACAAAATTTAGACTATTTACCAACACGACTTCGTGCTATTCTGACAGTAAATATCCTAACAAAAATAAAAATACAAATGATTTTCTTAGGTTCTTTCGTATTATATTTGTGTATTTTCACTATTTTCCCTTGCATGACTTGGCTGCATGCATACAATATAAATCATGTGCTTCCTGTTTACAACCTGAACTTGCAACTGTTGTATTTTTTTGGCACTGTAAATAACAGAAGTTATATATTTTAGATTTCTATGAAATTATTTTAACACAAACAATATGCTTTCACTGTGAACAAAACCAATTTATTGACTTAAACTGTTTTAGCATTACATTAAGTCAAAACTGTAACCCTAAAGTAGGCCTACCTAACCTATTTCTACAAACGAAATGGAAGCCATAGCCTAGAGATAACTACGAAGGTATCAATTTATTTAGGCTCAATCAATTTATCAATTTTTTTGTATTTAGGGCAGGCTATCTGTAAGTAAAATAGGAAAGTTGACCAAATTAGTGCCATAGTACATATTGAAATCATTAATTAATAAGCGGTAACCACATATTAAAATACTGTTTACTGTTTAAGCTTTACTGTGTAGGCCTAATGGTTAAGTTAACAAATACACTGTCACTAAATCTAATTTAAATTTTGTAAAAGTAGTGGTTCTACAATACTTCTTTCGTTCATGTTTTCTGTGTAGGTAAAGAATATAAAAATAAATTGAAGCTTTCGACACAGAGACACAAATCATACACTCACTAAAGAGAGACACATTTTAATTGGCAGCTCACACTCTTTATTTATTTATTACATGCACGGCAAACGCCATTTTACAAGAGAGTTGAGTTGACAAAAATTAAATGTGACTTAAAGTGAAATAGTTATAGTGTGAGCAATAATTAAATATTATAACAAATGAAATAATATTAAATTATCTTCACTAGTTGTTTACCACAGACGACATCGTGACACCGACCGATGTCGGATGCAGTCGCAGTGCAGTTTTTTTTCGGGTTCGGCGTAAAATGACGCGGGAAGAGGCAAGAGGACAGTTGTTTTTAAGTAGCTCAGACCATAGAGTATAGTGCCTTCCACTCGGAATAGGCCTACTGGCCTACACGTACGAGAGAGAAGAGCTGCTTTGCTCTCGCTTGTCAACAGTGTCTATTCAGGTCTCACACCCGACTTTATGTTTTGCTATTCACTGCTGAAACTTTTACTTTTACTGAAAGTTTTTCCTATTGCTTTCTAAAAACAAGTCTCTCTCTAAATCTCGTCTCATTTTTTAAAAAATTTTATGAATTTTTCCTTTAACGAGGGCGCAAATATTGGAATGTTGAGAAGGCGTATCGGCCCACCGGTGGGCCAGTCCGCCCCTGGCTGCGTTTACATTGGAAGCACGCTTGGGCAAGTTAAATGTTGGCGCACAGTTGCGCAAGCGTGCAGTTGCCGATGGTGTGGTTATACTAGAGCAAAGCAACCAAGAACAAGTGGTCGCCCCCACTAGTCGCAGTAGGATTACATCACATATCAGTCAAAACTGATATGTCAGATGATATGGACATTGTGCTTGAAAATTGAGTGAAATTTGTATTATTAGACTCCGAGTTGGGGGGGGGGAACTGGAAACTGTAGGAGTCGATGTAATGTTTGTACGAGACAATAATAGGTTTTTTACATACCTCAGTCAAATAGTCCAATAAATGATATTGCTCAACAGTTTACGTGTTTCGTTGCGAAGACAACATTTTCAAATCTTGCAACTTGTTAAAAACACATTTAAAACATGGACACGAACACAGAAAACATTAATACGGTACGAATACACAATAGACATTTAGATATCGCTAGCATAATACTGATTTGGTAATTGTAATGTTTGCATAATTAATTATTTTATAAAAAACATACCTATACTGACTAAAACAGTATAATTTTAATAAGCCTAGAGGAGCTTAATTTTTACATCAAAGCATTATTACAGGTCTATTTTGATGGAAAAATAAAATTCTATATATTTTGATAAACACGTTAAAATTCATTTGCAAATAGTGTACAGCAATGATAATGCTGTAACTATAAAAAAGTTATAAAAAAGGACAGTATCAATCAACGCCTCGGTATCCATTTTGAACAATTAAACAACTAATTACAACACTTAAATATAAAAAACAACAGTTTTCAGATACACAACCTATGCTAGTTTGTCATTGAATCACAACAAATTGAGGCACGCTTGCTTAAAAAAAAAATGTATTTGTTTCGTGGTTTGAGAGGCGCAAGCTTGTCCCAGCTTGTTAGTGGCAAGCACTGTAACCATGACTGGTCAAGTCACCACCGGTTTCCAGTACCGTAATCTGCTACAATTTTGTTTCAAAGGGCAAGTTTGGCCAAGCGTGTGCCACTATTTGACTTGCCCAAGCGTGCCTCCAATGTAAACGCAGCCTGAAAAGACGCTTGTGAATTTAATCGTTTTCAACTCCTTTTTTTACACAAAAAATCAGTGCAAAGTTTGGGTTCTTAGCAAATGAGGTTCTACTAATTTGTAAGTGCAGGAATGTTGTTTTCTGCTCTGGACCAATCAGAAACAAAAACCTTTTTTGTTCCGTTTTAAACATTTTAAATAACTAAATACTTCTATAGGCTACTACAAAAGTAAAATAACTGATGGTGTTTTTAAGAATCCATTCAAATGAAATTAACAGGCAAGTTTAATGTTGATAGTATTTTTAACTATGAAGAGAAAACTATATAAGAGTACAGTTTTGGCTAAATTAATTTATTGAGGATTTTTTTGAACAGTTCAATTCCTACAAACATACGTCGTCTTTTAAATTACTTACTATATCATCCACAAATTACCTAGTTTAGAATTAATTTGTCAGGAAAAAACAAAGAAAATAGCACCCCACAATTTTAACTAAGCCTACGGGTACGGTACTTGAAGTAGCCTATCATAAACATAAATAGAAACTTCTGTGCAAAATATTTTAGAGAATAACTATGGATAAGTACAATCCTAACCTGATGAAAAGGTAATAACAAATCAAAATTAAGTCTACAATTTTGTGTTTCTCAATAATTATACGGGGAGATAGATAACATGATTGAGATGGCGCCATCTAATGAAAGGTAGGCTATAACTCTATGCAACAAACAAGTCTGTTTTAAGTCCTCAATATACCTAATACATATCCAAAATAAATTTACATCTGCTAAACAAATTTACCAAGGATTAAAGCTCTATCAAAGCAAATTAGCCTATACATATTAAATGTTCAGAATGGACCTCAGTAGGCTATAACAAACATCATTTCCCAAAACTTGTTATGTCCAAACTCTTTTCTGTCAGTGCATAAAGAATATGACCTAAATACTGTTAAATGAAGCATTGACATGTTCCCTATCAGTTGGATTTCCATTTGTTCACATTATGTTACAAAATGTAAAACTAGCTTAAATATTTAATAACAGCCCCTACAGTTTGTAGATATTTGTTGCATTGTAAGGGTAAGGCAATTTAAGTAATGGATGTGATGTAAACCTTTGTTTAACCAAATCACAACATTCATATATGTCCTCAATTTCACATACTTAAAACAGCCTACCTAATATAAAACACTACCGGTAGTGACAAACTGAATTATTAGTGGCTCCCCGTATATTTAAACTCAGTTAAACTAAACAAAGTTGTTTTTAAGTTGGTGGTTCACATTTTCATAAATTAGGTAATTCTGTAAAGAAATCTTGATCTAACCTCTATAGCCTGACGTCACAAAATAAAATACTCCCAAACTTTTTGAGACTACTGAAAATTTTCTACGTTCATGAGAGGAATTCACATCCTTCAAAAGATTGTAGATGCATAGTAATAATCCATAAAATGGTGCAACATTTGATAAGGCATCTTATGAAACAAAATTTTAGGCTAATTAAGTTTTATTTCTGTTCAAGAAGTGTGTATGAATAAAGACAGACAATTTGACTATTGTAGGCCCAACAGTCGCAATCCAACATCAGGCTGAAACCATTTCTAGACCTTGATACAGAAATATAAATTACCATACTTTCAAAAAATATTTAGCCTAACTTTGTTCATTAACTTGCACGCTCAATGAAAACTCAAGAACCCACTCGGCATTTTTTACTACAAAACTTCAAATTTTAGGAATTTTCAATAAGTTTGAAGTATAGTTTTCAGAACATAAGGTCCGCATAATTTGTTATAAACATGTTTCTTATACTGTTTTAGGTTTAAAATTTGTGTCTTTATTAGCTTTGTCTAAACTGTGTCAACCGCAATGTTTATCCTACATACTGCAGAAGGGTTTGACAGTAGAGAACGGACATTTGCTTCAAACTTTTCTTTTACAAAAGAGAACTCCATAATGTTAGGCTTTGCTTGGAGCCAATATTTATCAAATTCATAAAACAGGTAGCAATAAAATTGATGAAAAGTTCGGATGGAAGTGAAACTCTTTGATACATTGTAAACATGTGTTTTAGCTGTACCATCTTTGAATAAATGGTAGGCCATGCTTGTTAAATTAATGCCTACTATCGCAAAAGCATAACCATACTGTGGATGCAAAGAATGTGATAAAACATGACTTGCCGGTCCTGGAAACTCTTCTGCAAAGTAGAGCAAATTGTCCAAACCAAGTATGCCCATACCTCGGAAATCAGTTTTTGGATCATCACCTTGAAAACCTATATCTTGCCACTGTTTGGATACTCTTGCTTGTAGTGGTTCATCTGGCTTCAAGCGTTTCCATAGTTTCAATAGTTTTTCTTCGTGGTCTTTGTTTTCAGAATCATACATGGTTAGTCTCCAGTTTTCAATTTCTTGAAGTAATTGACGGTAGCCCCAAATATGCTCTACACACCTTCCAAAAGATTTGAGAAACTGGCGGTGTATAGTAGGGTTAATTTTCTTGGCAAACACAACTACATAGACCGACTTTTCAAGTCCAACCTTAAGCATAGGACCACTGAGTTTCCGTTCTTCACTCAGTTTATTCAGATACTGCACCAAGTCTTTAATGTGATCATTCTTAGACAAATTTAAGGACACTTCTACACCATTAGATCTAGGATAACCCACTGGTTCTCCATAGCATATTCTTTGTAACTCACAAAGCTTTGTAGTTTTCCGCAAAAACCACTTGATACAAGGACGAAAAATCCAATACAAATAAGTATAAATTGAATGGAAATAACTCATTTCTCAGATAATTTCACTAAACTTAGTTATTAAATGTGCCGCTGATAACTTACGGAATTATAATTTGTAGGTTATAAACAATAAATAATGTTTGCATTGCACGCACACAACTCGGAGAGCCAAGGGTTCACGGGTTCACTTTTTCACTACAGTACGATACGAACTACGAACGATACTCCGCTCCGACAGAATACAATTGAATCGATCTATCGAGAGTCTGCAATTACACTATCGATATTGAATTGTGTACACTATCGATATCGGATTCGAGTTTGTTGTTGGATCTGATTCTGAGCGAGTCTGTGAGTATTGAGTTTTCAATTTCAATCGGATTAAAATCATCTACTCAATCCACCTCTAACAAACTGTAACTGTAAGCCTACGTACAGTAGCATTGACTTTATATCACAATCGTTAGTTTAAACGATGTCTTGTCTTTTTCCATTTTTCTTTCAACCTCCAGTATCCAAAACACCAATCGCAAATCGCATAGACCAATGATAACGCAAGGGGAAGGTATCATAGCTTCGAAAGCAATAGCACCGAATCATATTTAATAGCTATACATTATTAATATAATTCTAGAGGTTAAATACCTTTTCCTACAGTTACCTAACAATGTACATGTTCTCTTACTGATTTGAGAAAGCAAAGTGGCCAGTTCGATCATCAGTGAGACAATGTTAACATTGTCTCACTCTAATTACTTTGTCTCAATCCAGATTTGCAACGTGAAGGCACGAAATAGTGAGCGCGTAACATGCAGGCAACGTCGTATACGCGCGAAATGCGTTGGCAGCACTGGCTGTAAATCAGCTGGTCAGCTGTTGTACTGTTGTATTTGTCACTTCACATTAAATGTTATATTACGTTATGTTGTGTCATGTTATGTTATATTAAGTTCACTTCTGTGTAAAAATAGGTTATGTTTCTTCACAAATTTATTTGTTTTATGGTAACTGTAGGAAAAGTATAATGTGCAACTCGAGTTCAAAGTACAATTGCCTCACTCGAGAAACCACTTTTCTCACTAGTTGCACAAATAACTATTTAGTTACCACTGTAATCCACTGTCGTCTGGATGGCAACCGGTTTCGATACTCATGGTGTCATTGTCAAGCCTTAAAGACGTGTTGTCGCTCCTAGGGGGTCGTCATAAAGTCTTGAAAACAAATACACGAGACACGCACAAACATGTGTGTGTGTGTGTGTCCGTTAGCGCGACAACTCGAGCAAAAATGATCCGATTTTCATGAAATTTGGTACAAACGTGTAAACCTACGTAGTACGTTTATTCGAACGAGTTCGCGAACCAGCATAATCGGACCACGGGAACAGGGGTTTATGCTGGGTTTTATGGGGTAAAATGGGGGTTTCTAATTTTTTAACTCTAAAAACAAAAAAAATGCAATTTCTTTTTAAACCATTTTGTAGAGCTTAAAAAATAAATAATTTAGTATATTGAAGCGCTTTTGTATGCCTAACGGTCACAGAGAAGAGTAAAAAAGCGCAATATAAAATTCCCATGTTATTCTTATGGAGAAATGAAAACTGTTGTAGTTGACTTGTTTATGGATATGTTGATAAAATTTGACAAATTTATTTATTTCCTATACTATTGACGTATGGTAAAAAAACACTTTTTATCTTCCCCGTAGCAGCAAAACTAAGCACTTGTTAAATCTAATGTTATTAAAATTGGGAATAGATATTTCTTATTTAAGGAAGTATTATTAGTAAAATTTGAATCAGACAAATTGAAATTCGCTTGGTCTACAGGTTTGCTGCGGCGGGGTATTATTTGTGTTGCTGGATGTGGTATTAGTGCTGGGAGGGTGTGATTTATCTTTACGTTTCCAAAAATTGTGTTAAAGTTTAAAGTACATTTGTTTTACTTGTTGTATACTTGAAGTTTCCGTCCGTAGTCCAAAATTGGACGAATGAGAAAGTTCAGGGCTAAGACTCCTACTGCAAAACTTATTTTCAGTCTGGAGGTGTTATGAGTTAAGTTATTGGTCTAGTACTGTTTTCATAGCTTTTTGAAAACATAATCGACACAATTAAATTTTTAGATGTTGCCGTTCAGTCAAAATGTGGGGGCCAGTCTCTTCCTTGCCAAATAGAAACTTTCAGATAAGAACAATAACACGTCCAAGTGCTGACAACGTCTAGAAAATACATTTACCTTCAAGAAATCAGAATCGTTTATTGCCGAAGGCATTACAAATTTGTATAGGCCATCGTCAGGCACAATTTTATTAATAATTCGGTTTCGGTTAAAATATCTAATTGAAGACGTTAAAAGTCGTAATAAATAATTTTGTTAGCATCTGCACGGTCTGAGAAAAGATACCTCTTGTCGCACAATGTTATTTCGCCATAACGACCAGAGGTCCCATTTCTAATATTCACTTTAGGTTATTCTAAACAGACTTTAGTCCAAAAAATGAATTGGCCTGCATTCTCTAGATGAAATTTAGAGAACTGCAACAAAGTTCAGTTTACGGAGAACGAAATATCTCACAAATTTTGCGGTCCCGACAAGAGGTACCTTTTCTTATCTTATGGAGAAATAACATATGGCCAACAAGAGATCCCTTTTCTGAAATGCAATTTTTACGACATGCTTCAATAAAACAATTATTTAAATGAAAACTACCGGCCGGGAGTTAAGACAAAAATTTGTTTTGCCTCGAAAGAGGACATTATAAGCTTTCTTTTGATACAAAAATCGTTTCTTAAATACAAAAAAACTGTTTTTACGCGTATTTGAAATTTTCAAAATGATTTTTCTCAAAGTGACCCTTTTCTATAACAAAATTTCAAAGTCCCATAACTTAAGTAAATCGGTCCCGGGTCCCAGGCTTACCATGAGACCTATACGTTAATAGCTTCTTCTCTACATGGGAAATTCGCTAAAACTAGAATAAACATTGGAATTAAAATATATATATTTTTTAGGTGTTGCCTTCCGGATTACTCAACAATATAATTCTAGAGGTTACATACCTTAGGTCTACAGTCTGTACCTACACCCTGAACCCGCAGCCGCACCGTAAAAATTAGTGTTCTTTTATGGCCATACTGTGTTATTTATTTGTTAAATATATATATATTCAATTCAATTCAAACAATTGTATTCATGCAATTCTTAAATTAAATACATAATCCCATGTGCCATGCAAAGCACGCGCGGGATGAAAAACACATTTTTATTACTACATTTCATTTTCTTGTTTGTGACAGCAAACAGTTCATTTTTCCTTCTTTGTCACTTTAACAGAATAGTTAGTAGACATTTCCTATTGCAACAGTTTTAATCATATAAATAACACTTATGTTATAAATAAACAAATTAGAATAATTTAATAAGAACACGGTTTTTAGAAAGACAATAAATTCTACATGCAAATATAAATAGTTATTTATCTAAAACAAATATGCAAAGAAACATATTTATTTTATGTTTCTTGAAAAACATAAAATAAATAAAAAATAATTGTAATTTCGTATATATATATATATATATATATATATATGTGTGTGTGTGTGTGTGTGTGTGTGAATTTGAACGGAGAAGGACCTTCCGTTCCTGGTGTTTTTGGCCTCTGGGGACCTCAAAACGAAAAAGTAAATCGGTCCCGGGTCTAGGTCTTACAATGAGACCTGCGGTAATAGCTTATTCCCTATGGGAAATTCAATAATGAATCATGTGTAGTAATATCTATGTAGACAAAAGACAAAAGTAAAGATCAACCAAAACAAGGGAGTATGTTTTATTTATGATAAAAGTGTAACCATGTGACTGACAAACAAAATGTCTGTTCGTCTGTTGTAGAATGTAGATAACAAAATCAACAAAATAAAGCAACCAAAATGACCAAAATGACAACGAATAATGTTAAATCTGAAACCGCGCGGCTGCATTGTTCGTTCTACCTTGTACACCCTCAAAAGCCCGCCAATTTTGCTAACATAAAAAAAAGAAATATTTTGTTAGTTGTTGGTAATATTGGTAATATTTTTATCAATTATTTTATTATGTTAAATCTTAATGCTTTATCTGCTTACTGTTTAGTTGCTAATCTTGGAAGTTCTACAAAACAAACTAAAGTTGAAAAGGTGTACCTATTATTGTTTATTAATTAATCTTACATCTTACCCAATAATTTAATAGGCTACTATTGTGCTGAGCATTATGTCTATGTGCATGTGATTCTAGGCCTATGTGTAGAAGTAGAAAGCTAGATCAAATCCTACAGTAATATCCTAGAAAATAAAAAAAAATTGAAACCATTTTACCCTACATAAGGATGCTTGGCTAATAAAAATGGAAAGGCCTAAAGAAACAACCACAACAAACAATAAACAATTGCCAGCCTGGATGGTAAGGTTAAAAAAAATAGACCTAAGGCCTATACATTTTAATTCTTTGGTTAATCTACTAGTATTTAAGTTATAACCTTAGAGTGTCACAAACTCTACTGTCATTGATTAAGTAGGCTGATATTTACCTGAGGTGCCACTCACAGAGTCCACAAGCCTTTTAAACTTCCATCTGAGTCTGAGCCGGCAGTCCTTTCCATAGTTTTTCTGTTGTATTCTTCCACCATCTCTGCCATGTGTCAACTATCAGCAGCACACCTGAGGTTAACTTACAAATGAGATGATGCCAGGCCCACTTTTATAAACGGGCAGACTGGGCCCAGGGGCGCCGGAGGTTTGGGGGCGCGCACGGGGGATTCTGTCTCCCGAGCACCGAGTCTCCCGAGCGCCGAGTCTCCTGAGCGCCGAATCTCCCGAGCGCCACATCTCTCCAGCGCCAAGCAGACTATCTGGCATAATCTAACAGTTTTTCCAGACGAATTGGAATTCACAAATGCAATGAACTGCGGTAAAGGCGTGTGCCCAATTGAGTATTGTAGAAAATCAGAGCAGAATGAAGTTAATTTTACATACATTTTAATGATATGATACAATTTGAATTCTAAATTAACATTTAAAATGAATATTTTTTAATTCAGCTTATCGACTTTCGTACTTTTGAGATGTTCGCACTTAATCTTGAATGATTAACCTAACCTTTACTGCTTCACAGATTAAACTCATTTATACGATTTTAAAATATAAGGTATAGCACTTCTGCACTACTGAGCAGAACCTTTGGTAATTTATGGCCTTGGCGCTGGAGATACTCCATTTGCCTTCGGCGCTCGGGACACTTGGCGCTTGGGAGACGCAACGCGCATCGGGTGCCCCCCCACCACCGCCCGCCTGCACTAGGAAAAAATGGGGCGCTGCTTTTGGGTTTGCCCAGGGCTCCACTGACCCTTAACGCGGCCCTGGATGATGCTGTGTAATACAACCCATAAATTTCTGTTTCCGTGTTTCTAGGTCAGGTAGACAACACTCTTAACCACTAAGCAGGGCTGTCCCTAGGGTTGGAGGCGCCCTGAGCAAACGTGGTCGTGGTGCCACCTCCCCCCCAACAGTAATAGTCGCATTCGCATATTTTAATACTATGTTAATACAAATAGCCACTGCGCAGCGCCCCCTCAGCTACAGCGCCCCCCCCCTTCAGACGGCCCTGCCACTAAGCCACTAGTCACTATGCTAGCAGATCTGATACATAACTTAGCCCAATGCTTCTATTCTTTGTTATTATCATGACCTGTCCAACTCCTTATGCAAAGGACTACTGATTGAGAAATCATGTATGTATGTATGCTGGTGAGGCAATCACACAGACAGATATTCTATCCCTCTCATAGAATCAGGCAAAGTCTTGTCTTTCAGTCAATAGTGTCTGTTAGGATTATATGTTTAGTTTCCTTCCTGTAAACCGAAGTCCGAAACCATAGCTGTATAAAACATAAAAACTTTAAACTTGTAAATAGGCCTAACTGTGCACAAACATGTAGCCTAACTTAAATGACATCTTTTTTTGGCTATTATGACTAGACCAATTGTAGCTGAACGTGGCATTGGTTTCAAATTTGAACTGGTTTGCTTGTTTGTGACTGGATACGGACAGCTCTTTTGATTCACAATACTTAACTCACTGACATGAACTTTCTTCTTGATTTGCTCTATTCTGTGATAGACAAAAGAATAGGCTACCCACTGTAGGCTATAGGCCTACTTACCTGGTTTGTGAATTATCTAAATAACAGAAAATTATCTTTAATCTATGTTTATTTTTTATTTTTGGTTTGTATATGCCACAGTCCTTAGAACAATGTTGCAAGGTTTTTGTCCAAAGTGATTAGTAGGGTTAGTAGGTTAGACACACCCTGTGAGAAATTCCTTTTCTTTGAACTTACCGGTACTTTTCCTTTCTCTTAATCAGTCCTCCATTTGCCCACCATGCTCACTAGTGTTTGTTTATTTTTATTTTTCACTTTTGAATTTATTTATATATTAAATTAATGTTAATCAGGTAATATAATTTAGTTTTAATTTTACTGTCTAAAAAGTCTCGTTCATAAATATAGTACCTACCAAACCGAAAAATGATTTACTGACACTTGCTCCAAACAACTCTCACATGATTGGCTTCGCTTGATATTCTTGTGATATTTGCTACTTTGTTCTATTTTGCCTCACAAATCAAACTTGAGCTTGCATCGGAAAAAGCTGCTTACAGTTCTAGTAGCCTAATTATTATTCAAGGCCTATCATTATGTTGGATGATTGATTTTACTATTCAGTTCCATATTCAGGGCCCCTAGATTACTATATAATGACAATATAATGGTATCATTTACCTCGTCTTGTAATTCAGCTTGTACCGGTAGAGATCAGTTGTAAAATACATTCAACATAACTGACTCACAAACACAAATTAGGCCTAATAAACAATTTTTTTTCGTCTGACAGTTATGTTGTATCTGTTTTTGTTACTCTAACAGCTGATGATTTACACGACTAGGTAAATTATATTATCTTATGTATTGCCATAACTATTCAGGCTGAGATGTTATGGGTGTATTTTGTTGATGAAGGTCTGAATGATTGGTTTGCTAGTTAGAAACTGTATGCATAAATACTTTAAGGGCCGACCTAAGGGCAAATTATATCCAATGTAAGTTGCTATTTTTATACTCCCATCTCCGAAAACCTATCCCCATATTTTCTCTATGCGGTCCAGGGTACAACTCATTTCGTTCACTGATTTACTCATTCCATAATATGTTTGAGCATTATTTGATCCTCGGCGATTTGAAAGAACCTGGGTGAACTTCTGTTACTAATACTATATACACCATGTGTTTTGTATTCCAAGACCGCTTATCAAGGTTTACATTAGAGCAGCGGCTCACAAACTTTTTGTTCTGGCAAACTTTTTGGTGTCTATAATTATTTACCTATTATTATAAATTTATTAATATTCTCATGTATACTCGGAAACATACAGTAAAACCTCACTAACTCAACAGACAAGGCACACATAAAAAAAAAAATATATGTAAAATGTAGCCTGTTATGTATTTATTTATATAAACCCGTTAAAAATTGCAATTTCTGGATAACTCTACAACCTCTGGGTCAAAAATTGACAAGTAGGTGAGGATTTACTGCATAACTACATTAAATGAAAACTGAGAATGATGTATTGAAAGTACACAGTAGGGGTTCTAGTTCAATACAATATTGCTTGAGAAACTTTAAATGATCTAAAACTGAAATTTAGGCCTACTATTTATAAGAGACTTTATAAATAAATAAAAATCTTTTATTTTAACACGCAAAGTTAAGGTCACATTCTTACACTTAACATTTACATATATATCAGGCCCGTTTTTGATCCTGTCAGCGCCCTAGGCACAACTAACAGTAGCGCCCCTTTGCAATATATATAAAACAGGGTGTCCACCAACCAGGAAATCCGGGAATCATGCGGGAGTTTTTTGAACCGGGAATTATGTCTGAATTTTGTATTTCTACCTAGAGTTTTCAATTTATCGTGATCGCACATGACAACATCAGTGATGTTTCCGTGACCGCGGGAGACGATAATATGTCTACACACGGCCGTGAGGGATGATCAGAATATTACCACGATCACGGAAGACAATGATAATGTCCACACGACCGCGGGAAACAGCAAGAATTTTGCCACGATTGCAGAAGACGATGATGATCTCCACACAACTGCGGGACATGATTAACATTTTGCCGCAATTGCGGGAGATGATTTCCATGTATTCACGACCATGGGAGACTGTTACGATGTCTACAGGACCGCGGGAGATACAATAATGATTTTTACACGGCCGTGAGGGATGATCAGAATTATGCCACGATCGCACAAGACGATGATAATGTCCACATGACCGTGGGAAAAATGTTGCCTCATTCTTGGAAGACAATGATTACCATTTTTCCGCAATCGCGGGAGACGATTACAATGTCTTCATGACTACGGGAGACGATTACGATGTCTTCACGACTACGGGAGACGATTACGATGTCTACAGGACCACGGGAGATACGATAATGATTTATACACGGCCGTGAGGGATGATCAGATATTGCCGCGATCACGGAAAACTATGATAATGGCCAAACGGTCGCGGGAAAAAGTCGGAACTTTGCCTAATTTGCGGAAGAGGATGATGATCCCCACAAGACCGAGGGAGATAATTACCATTTTGCCACAATCGCGGGAGGCGATTACTTTGTCCACAAGACCGCAGGGAACGGTATAATGATGTCTTCACGGCCGCGAAGGGTGGTCAGAATTTGACCGCGATCGCGCAAGACGAGGATAATGTCCTCACGACCGCGGGAAGAAGATCAGAATTTTCCCTCATTCACGGTAGACGATGATAATTTCCTCACGACCGCTGGATATGCTTATGTATTGCCTCGATCATGGAAGACGATAATTATGTCTAAACGACCCGACCACGGAAAATAGTAAGAATCTTGCCGCAAACGCGGAAGACTATTACAATGTCTACACGGCCGCGAGGGATTATCAGAAGTTTACCGTGATCGCATGCAAACACCAATTTTTTTTATTTACCAAATTGTTGGCGCCCCCCGAAAAAGCCAATTGCCTCGCGCCCTAGGCACGTGCCTACCGTGCCTATTCGGTAAATCGGCCCTGATATATATATATATATATAATTGAAAACATTATTTACACAAACATTTTTTTTAAATACCGTAATTTAAACAAATTATCGAACAAAACCACTCATGAGTGTATCAGTACAATCAGTCACTCAGTCAGAAATTGCGCAAACGCCAAAACAGTCCAATGAAGCACCAGCCGAGGTCATTCGCTCGAAGTACAATTTTTGAGTGCTGCCACAAACCAGGGACGACTATCAAACTTTTTAGGATAGAGGTAGATTGTTTTTTAAAGAAACAAAGAGG